TTTCACACTGCTGAAATTTGATCTCCAAAAGCAACAAAATAGATGTGTTGTGGATTTCCAGGATTTAACATTCTTATTTTGCATTTTAAGATGCCCTGCAACACCACAAGAAGCAAAACACATTACTGGATACTGCCCCAGACCTCTAGAAGCCAATGTATATGTTTAAAACAAAGTGTGGCCTTCAGGTGAGACTTGCCATTCCTTGATATAAATGATGGTGCAATGTTCCCTTTGAATTTTGTTACATAGCAGTTTTAGCTCCAGGTAATCCGCATACATGAAAATAGCTTCCTTGTACAAAATCTGTAAATTCGCCTCAAATAGAAGGAGATTTGTCTTGTTTTCAATTGCACAGTGACACCGCATTGGAAGAATGTCACGGCAGCAGCCTTTCTTTATTATATACTCAGTGTAGTAGCAAGAAAAATAGATTTGATGAAGCAAAAAAGAAAACCAATTCAAAAGCAAATAAAAAAGAACCCTGCATCTATATACGAATAGAGTGAAGCCGGTAAGAGCCATGTAATTTATTTTGAGTAATTATTCTAGTTTTAAAATCCAGGTAATTTTTCTTCCTATTGGAAAGCCTGGAGGCAAAAAGCCTTTTGAAATATTGGAGAGGGTAAAATTTAAAAATTAGCTACTGAGCATGAAGTATGCAATAATTGCTCTTCATAACATTTTTATTGCCTCTATATTCTGTGAATTATTGCTCCAAATTCCTCTGTACCATTATGATGAAAAAATGGTATCAATAAAATTGGGTTGATTTATGTTAAGATTTTATCACTTAAGCCCATGAAAATCAGAGGCATGCTAAAAGGAGCCATTTTTTTCATGACATTTCTTTTTCCTTTTTTTCATCCAGCGCAGTAGCAACAGTTTCCCTCTTCATTTCCTGGTGTGCTGGTATGGTATCCTCACACCCACGCTCACCATTCACACAATCGTGGGCTCAGGCTTTTAGGCCAAACTGTAACTATGACACTAGGATGTCATGCACTAGTTTTCAACATTTTCTGATTAAAACACTTTGAATTGGAGAGTAGCTACTTCTTAAATATATTGCCTTCTTTTTTCCCCATCTATTCTTCAATGGATCTATGGGATTTTTCTTAGGGAAGAGATTACTATATGTAAATTAGTATTGATAAAACTAAGCCAAAGATTAGTTAATCTGGTACATATGAGCAAAACTCAGAATATTACAATGTTTTATTTCATTCAGCCCGGCTTAGTATGCAGTTCGCTTGCACTGTAACATCTTTACCATCTGTATCAGGGATGTCAAACTCACGTCGTCACGGCAGCATCACGTGACGTATCGGGACTTTTTTCTCCTTTGCTAAAACCGGGTGTGGCCATGCCCAGCGCATGATGCATCCGGCCCATGGGCCGGGAGTTTGACATCCCTGATCTATATGATGCTTATCATTGTTTTGTTATCTGTTTTGTTCATCTGCCTGTTTTACATAAATCAGCAACATCAAAGTATGTTACCTTGGCTTCTATCAAAAGGGACTAGAAGTGCTAGCATGAACTTTCCGGAACATTTTATCATATAGAAGATCAGACAAAAAGAGGAAGCTTTAAAAAAAAAGACAACATCAAACAGAGAATGGGCAACAGTATTACATGCAAAAAGATTCCAACTTCTAAATATTTTGAACTCTGGTGAACATTGCATTTGTTTATATCATATCTAGAGTTCCTGTGATAAATAGGTTATTTGGGGGAGGTGTCAAATTCAAGTTGCATCTACACAGGTGAAGCCTCTGCCCCACCCTTTTCACATGCATCAACACCACACATAAATTCAAAGGATTGAAATTTCAGTCAGTTATGACTGGCATCTTGGTTTTTATATCCCTTTTGGGGATGCTGCTGGCAATACAGAAACAGACATGCCAATTTACCTATTCCAGAAATATAAAATCCAGATATTATTCATATCACAGTATCTGAAACCTAGACTAGTGTTGGATGTATATTTTGTGTATATTCATAGATATTGTACTCTCAAATTGCAAGTGGAGACGTGGGTACTCTATTTTTCTTATCTTCATTTTTAAGTGCTTTGGTTTTATTGCATTGCAAACAGTTGCTGGGGTGCATCCACAGTTTCGTTGTACTTGTACAATGACAATAAAGTTCTTCTAATTCTAATTCTTCTAATAACATATTTTGTGAAACTGATTTAGCTAAACATGAGTTGGTTGAAAAAAAAGTCCCATTTAGCTGGATTCACATAGCATGGTAAGACAATAGGGTTAATTGCTGCAAATGTCTGCATCATCTTAATTCCTACCTCATAGAGTTGAATCAGGTTAGACATTTTTTTTAAAGACTAAACATATTAGCCAGATCCAAAATAGCATCATTTTTGCTAAATTTAAATTGGATTCATTCTAAAATTAAATTCTGACATCCAGAGGCTGTTCCACTTGGAAGACAATCCAAATGCTAGCTATCCAACTAGCTGTACTCCACTATCCTACAAGTGGAATTTCCTTTGTTTATTAAAAACCTAAAACAATTTTTTTCTATGCAAAAAAAAAAATTGTATTTAAATAAACACGACTGATGTATCGGTCGTGTTTATTTAAATTATTTTTTGCATAGGAAAATAACAAAATCTGCCCTTTTTTTGCAGAGATGCTCATTCAACTGGTAATTAACGAATTCCTTTCTTGTATCGCTTTATATCCCTTTCCCCCAATCTCCATAGCAATAATATGCATTAGGCAGTGAATATTACACATTATACCAAAGGTTAACTACAAAGAATCAGAATATTTCTCCAAATGTCTTTTCTCCAAAGATAAGAAATAATTACTCAGAATATATCAGAATATATTTTTCTTCACATCTTTAGACTAGTGCTGTATAATTTTTTCAAATCTTACCCTTGATCTGTTAATAAAAAGAATTCAGAATATTTATTTTATTTTGAAAAAGGCATTTACAGGAAACTTCTTCCTTGTTGATGAAAGTAAAATGGATTACTCCAAACGTGCTTTTCCAAAAGGCAACTGGACTTTCTTGGTTTGGAAAAGCCCCTTTGGGATAACCATGATGTGGATGACTGAGAATCTCCCTAGACATTTAAAATGGGTTATCTTTACACCCAAGCCTAACACTTGTCTAATCATGGTTCAACAGATGATCCCTAACGTCTGTTTGCATAACACACAAACAAAATCAAGGAAACCCTCTTACACCTTAGAAGTCAGCCTTTGTGTTCCTCAACTGTAAGATCATGAGATTTGTATAGAGCAAGTCTATCTAAACTTTTGGCTTGCCTGGACCATACATAAAATATATAATATAGTTAATGCATGAGAATACATGTTAAAAGTTTCAATCTTGCAGAGCCACATTACTAGCTGTCCCATGGCCCGTGGGATGGACATGCCTGGTTTAGATCTCCCTACCCAGTTCTGCAGCTATTTCAATTTCAAATGCCCCATTGCAGGCATGACACCCTAAACTGGTACAACCGTTTTCTTTAAAAAAAATCACCCTCAGCTACAATCTTATTTCATTCTTAAATATTCTTAAGATAATTTTAGTCAAGCTAATTCAGTTCTTATGAACTGTTCAATTCACACAAAAATAGGTTTTTCTAATCTTTCAAGTTTTTCATTTGCCAGGATTGTCAAATTGCTATTCTAGAGAGTCTGTTTGGTACCAGTCTAGAAAGTGGGAGACCGTGAGTTCAAGTCCTGCCTCACCCATAAAAGCCAGTTTGGTGACCTTGGGCTAATCATTCCCTCTCAGCCCTCACAGGGTTGTTGTGGGAAAATAGGAAGAAGGTATGTTAGATATGTTTGCCGGCTTGAGTTATTTGTAAAAATAAATGTGGGATATAAATAAATATAACTGTAATTATACCTAAGAACTGACATAAATATGCAGGCTTTCAGCAACATAGATATGGAATAATGTACTTTTTAAACTTAAAATTAATACAGTCATAGAAAAATCATAATTAAAGAAAAAAAACTATTAAAGAACTAGTGAGTTTAATATTTAGCACCTAAAAAGAACATGTTCAATTTTTTTGTTCTAAGTTGGTGCTACTTTCAATAATATTTAGAATCATATAGAACTGTGATTAAAAGGAAGAATGCAAAAAAAAAGTACATGCATTGAAGTTATTTTCCCCTAACTCCTGTTTTCTTTTATAGATGAGATATATAATCATTATGGTTTAACTTCACAGAATCATCCATTCATACCAAATTCTGAAGGAAAATGGCAACATCTCTATTTCAACAGACAGGATCTTTGTATATACTTTAAAACTGCATGACTATTTCATGGAAAATTAAGTTATTCCATTTTCCTGTTATGCTACATTATGCCTTCTCCAAAGAAACAGAAGTATCAAGAGAATATATGCTCTCCAGGGTTAACTTAACATGCATGCTATGCTGAACCACAACTCACAGTATTTTGTAACTAAAATTGTCTGTTTTTGAACTCAAAAGTGTGACACTGGGTACAATCTGGATCACAGGTGATCTGAACATACATATTGATTTTAACAGAAGCTACACTAAACTGAAGAAAATTTTTCCAGGAAAGTGTAAGAAATACAAGTTTGTTTAAATATTAAAAGGTAAGAAGTCCCACATTCAAAAGGGTTTCCTACTAAAAATGCTGTTTACAAAATATTAACTACATGAACTATATTCCATTGGGTTTTACTGAAGTCTACAAAAGAACCGTCATACTTTTTAAGAACAGCAACAGAGCAGAGCTTAATAAAATGAGCTGCTATGGACTAATAGTTTTCTTGCTACAACTAGCAAATGTAATGTTAAGTTACAATTAAATATGCATTGCAAGTTTAAGCAGATGAGTACTTTTGTAGTATTATTTTAAAATATTCCAGTATTTTATTATACAATTCACACTAAAAGTCAATTTCCCCCCATCATGAACACACAAAATCAAGACAACCACCACCAGAGTAAAACACTAACACTTTATTAAAAATTCAAAATTTATTGCAAATTATATTTTGCTTCTCTCCTTTCTTCATTTTTACATGATTTATTGATATCCATGATTTTTTCACAAATATACTTGTTGACTTTGGAGAGTCTCTGTGCAATTTCTGTTTCATCCAGAGTTTCTTGTGCTATTCTGTCATACAAACATTCTAAAAAAAAAAAAGGAAATATGACATTTAGAATAAAACTTCAAGATATTTAAAGTATAGCAAAAACTCTTAAGCAAGGAATATGTCATGCATAGGACATATTGCATAGGATGAATGCAGCAATTCATTGAAATAATTAAAAAGTGAACAAGAACCCACATATAGCAACGATCTGAAAATTACTCTCCGACAGCAAATGATTTGTATGTTCACCTAGGACTGATACACTACATTCACACTAGTATTTTTAAGATGTCTTTGGTAGGCATTTAATAAGCCATTCACTCTGAAATGGCCATGTCCCTCAATCCAAGAAAAAAAAAAGAGAAAGTGTTGGTTGACCGGGTTAAACTGAAAAAGCAACAACGTCAGGTACCCTGGAATTTAAACTATAAAAATAACATTGTTCCCAAAGAAGACTTTGAAGCGGCGAAGGAGAGAGGGAAGGGAAAGGATTTGGCTTTTTTTTCCCCTCCCTTACTTATACTGACAGCTAAGAGACTTAAGTAAAAAACTGACAAAAATCCACTTTGACATTAATAGGCATTTAAACTGAAAATAAAATGTCAAGGGGATAATAAAGATTTTTGGATATTTAAAAACTTTTAAAAGCAAGAAAGGAGAGAAAAAGAACAAAAGGGCAGGATCTGGAAAAATGGAGGAGACTGCCTGGAACTAAAAGGAATTTATAGTGAAACAAGATTCCTAAAAGATACATTCCAACTGAAACTTTGTAACAAAATAATAGAACCCCAGGAAGAGAAAGTAGAAAAAAGAAGCAAGAAGCAGCAGCTTTGGATTATTTGGATTACTTGGTGATTTTTGGATTTTTGGCCATTGCATTTAAATGACTAAAATCAATCGGGGGGTTGTTTAAAAGTGTTTAAAATGGCATCACTTTTAGAAGAACTGAAAATGGAACTTAAAAAACAGAAAGAAGATGCACAAGAAGGGAGAGGTTCTTTTGGCTTTCTATTTCAATTCTTAGAAATGGAGATCTGGAACTATGAGAAACAAGAAGAAATGCTTGTAGAACAAGAAGATCTGGACAAAGAAGAAGCCATCTTTAATGATCAAGTAATTTTATGTGGGGAGAAAAAAAGGAAAGTGGGGAAAGAGTGAAAAGTTTAAGATTTGAAAAAACAACCAAAAAAAGGAATAGTTTGAAAAATAATTACAATATTAGAAAGCAACAGAAGAAGGGATTACAGAAGAGAGAATTAGAAGTAGAGAGACAAGGGGGTAAAAAGGGGAGGAGGAGAAGAGGGGGAAGAAGGAAAGGAAAAGAAGTTATAAAAGACAGAAACAAGATATAGAGAAACAGGGAAAAGGTATAAGGATTGAAAGTATAAGCCTGTTTAGAGATAATGGGTGAAAATTTAATTGAAAAAGGGATTCTGCAAAGGTACATAAGATAATATTGTTATATTAGAAATAGAAATAATTTCAGAAAATATGTTGACTAAACTGATGGATAAAATATTTATTGTAATATAGTGGAATGTTTGTTAATAAATAAATGAAAGAAACTGAATGAGAAAATGAAATTAGGAAAGGATAGCAACATTTTAATTAATATTAATGATTTATAAAAATATAAGAAGAGAAATATGGGAAAAAAGAATTAATTATGGAAAGTTTATAAGTGTTCACAAGGAAGTATGATATTCAATTGAAAAGAAAGAGATGTTAACATTTTAATGAATATTAATGATAGAATTGAATTGGAATGGAATGAGTGTTTTATTTACATATATATATATAAATTTTTAAGAATATAGTGTGTATTTTAAGAATGTACCAAGCAGAATCCGACTGGAAGTTATGTATTATATTGAATGTTATAATCTTAAAGGTATAAATTGAAGTTTAATTAAGAGTTGAATGGACAAAATTAAAAGATATAAAGGTGTCATACTCCAATTAGTAACTACAGGGGAAAATTTGTTTAATGAGAAAAGATAATATGAAATTGAAACAGGACAGACAAAAGTACAAATATAATGATATGAATTGAGATATGAGATAATTAAAAATAAAGTTGAGAAAATCAAAGGAGGGGAAAAACTATGTAGAAAATGTTAAACAGTAGTAAGACATGGAATAGAACACAAAGACGAACATGAAATTAAGTTTGTGTCTGTATGAAGAAGTAATAGCCCATGATCATGCTATTCTCAAAAAAATATGTTTTATTTGTATTATGTTTCTTTTGTGTGAAAACCCAAATAAAATTTATTTTAAAAAGAAAAGAAAATTCCTTAAAAGGTATTCTCTGGCTTTTTTAAAAACACATCTTTATTTATGCTTATTCGAGCAGACATATCCACTCAGTCAGAGTCATGGTAACATTAATAAATGACAGAGAAAAATCTATGGACTTCCTACCTCAATGTTACCATCCATGAAACATACTGTTTTGTAGGTTTCTACTTGTCTCACCACTTTATAAAATACACTTTTAAAATATAAATAATAATATGGTGGTAGACAAAGTGGAATTCCAGAACAAAAATATGATCTATAGCAGTATGTTTAACAGATAACAAGTCTAAAAATTCTTTCATAATATGGAAATGCCCGAGACAAAATAATATTAGGTAATAGCATCCATGTAAAAAGTATGTGTTAGGAAGTACAGTGGTTTGTTCCTTCTTCCAAATTAAATGGTTGTTTATTGTTGTGTGTGACTGTTATAAAGGGGAAGAATAGGCAACCTCAGAAACTAAAACAGTACGATTAACTGTCATTAAGCAAATTGACAGTAAACAGTCTCATTTCTGAGATATGGTTTACAAAACTGTGTCTCACTGTAAACTCCTCAGCACTCAACATACAAGCTACAGTAGTCTGTTTAGATATATACTGCCTTTGTTATACTGTATAAACTATACTGAAAAGTGCAATTACTACCAGTACTTCCAAAGTGATTAAACAATTTCTGCTGTTTTTAGTATTTTCACTCAGCAACTATTTATTGCTTCATATGGTAAACAAAATAGAAAGTCACTTAATTAACGGGTTTTATGGCACTGTTAATGCATATTAAAGTTGTAACAATTAACTATTCTACATCCTTTGCATCTTCTCTCACACCTTTCAGAAGTTTTATAAAAGACTATTTTTCATTCACAAGATCTGCAGTGGTTGTATACCAACACTTTTTAACAACTTTCTCAGAATAAACTACACAATAGGGACTACTAAACAAAAAGACATATTAGACCCATTTAGACCTAACACAATCTTTTAAAGATATTTTATAGAAGCTATTCTAGAATCAAAAGAATAAAACCTATCTTGGCTACAAATTTTATGAGCAGTTTGAAATGTGTTTTTTTTTTAATGACATTTAAAACATAAGGAAAGAGATGAGTAAAACAGTTATTTAAATTAAAACATGGAAAGAGGAATTTGATTAAGGCAAAGCCCTCATTCTTCTTCAGTATTGAACTAGGGAGTGACTGAATCCATTATAATTGAAATCTATACATAGTAAATTAGGGCATTTTATTTCCACCATGAAATTCCACCATACACCTACTATATTCCAACATACCACAAGTATATGACTTTGTCCAAAGTTTTTATTCTAATTTTAAACAACAGAAAGACAATTCTCCTTCTGCTTATTCTCTACATTAGATGTGTACATGTTTTGCTTTTGATACAAGTTTTTCATATCTGAAATCCCCTTCATAACAAAATATGAGCCGTCTGTGTGGGTTTATTCTGGGATCTTTGTACTATGTGCAATATGTATAAACCTTGCCAGTGGTGATCAAAATTTACCACTAAGGCTAGACTTCAGTATTTGCCAAAAACAGACAACCTGGAAGGCTTGGTAAACAAATGGAAAAGGTATAAAAGAGTAAAACGTGACCACTATTTGTCTGTTCTGTACTCAGAGGTATCTAGAGATAGCAGCAGGTATCAAAAAAGGGCAAGAAGTTAGAATAGAAGTTGCAGTACAAACCCTATTTTTTATGTATGTAAGAAAGTGTCAAGGCATGCATCACAATGCCACTCCATAAAACTTGGCTTCTTTAAAAATCTGCTTGCTCAAAACTGCAGATGCTGCTATCTGTCCCTCCTAGCAAGCTTTTCCGGGGATAGTATGGTCAAACAAGAATATTACTATCCAGAGGAGAGTAAGATTAGAAAAGTTATATGGTCTCTTCCCTACCTGTTTGCTCTTTTAGTAGGTCTATGAGAAACTCTGGAGAATTCAATCAACCCTTGATTGATCATCCTTTCCAAGCAAATATGATTCCAAGCAGGTTGTCCCAAAGGTGCTTTTCAAGAGGCAACAGGACTCATCCAAGTCAACTCATCCAAGAATCGAAACGTTTTCAAGGAAAAACCAGAGTCCAGTTGCCTCTTGAAAAAGCACCTCTGAGGCAACCATGACCTGGATGACTGAGAATCTCTATAGACAGATTCCAAGCAGGGAACTGCATGGCTCCAGTCTTTCAAAGCACTTCGAAGATTCAATAACTTTTTCTGCTGCTTCTATGTTTATAGACAATATACCACAACAACCCTACATTTTAAGAATACGGGGTTGTGGTCATAAGGGAGTGGTCATAAGCTGTATAGCTGGCCACTGAACTTCATCACCTCATTATAGTCTGCCTATCAGACTTATTTTAGGAGAGACATTATTATTGTTCTTCCATTTTGGTTCAATGTATCTTTTCTGATAGGCTGTTTGCTTTTATTACATTTAGGGAAGAGGGATGGCACAGCTCCTCTCCTGGCTTATTTTGAATGCAATCCTATTTCTTCCAAATTGCTAAATAATTAAAATATTCATTCCTGTCTTTTAATTCTCCCCATTCGAATGACCCAACAGCTCTCACTCACATTCCTTTGTTGTCTTCCATTTCCTTCATCATGAGCAGATAAGAACGTAGAGTCCTTGGTGTTCTCTGAGCTTGGTTGTTTGCTTGTAGATGTTTCGTTATCTGACTAGATAACATCAATGCTGGTGAGTATAGGATATGCTCCCTGTTTACCTACAGTATCTTACCTTGCCACTGTGTATATGGGGAGGTTATGGGTTACCGTAGGTTCTCTCTCCATGGTGGATGCTTGATTATGGTACTGTTTTATGCTTGATTGTGTGGTGTTAATGTCAGCTTATCTGGATGTAGATTGCTAGGGAGGGTATGTTTTGGACTTTTTGTTTCTTTTTTTGTTTTTTTACTATCTTTTTTTTAATAGCATGTAAAATGTGGTTTGTCTCTATTGATGGCTGCTTTATTTGAATGCTAACCTTCCAGGAATTCCTTAGCAATACCCTAAGGTCAAAGGTATCTCGCAGCTGAACAAAATGTCAATGGCGCTAGAGATGGAGTTCCTAAGGAACACATACATGCTTTTCGTGGGAGAATGTTAGGATACAGACAACAGGCCACTGTTGGAATTTCTGTAACAAATAGGTGATTGATAATGGGAGTTGAGGTATATTTTAATCACTGGGGAAGAGTGTCTTCTAGGTTTGGAACTGGGTGGGACCAAACCAGAAATGTCTTGGATCAGGAGGGTTCTTGCCTAATGACGAGTTGGATTTGGTTAATAAAGGCAACTGGGACTGCCAGGATTGCCATTGCTAAGAGCTGTGTTCACATGATGTTGTGCTTTACAACTGCATCACTTAGCAATGGAAATTCTGGCCCCAACTGAAGTCATAATACAAGGACTACTTGTAGTTCCCTTCCTAAGATATAAATACACAGGACTGTAAGCTGTTAATCACTTCAGCAGCTGTATTAGAAAACAAGATTCCTTCAGTTGTTGCTTAATGTAGTTTGAAGAACGCTCACATAATCAAAATAACCTACCTCTGACAATGCTTAACTTGTGAGGTGACAAAGGTGGCTTAGGAACAGCATCTTTCTTTTTCTTAGTGGCTACACCTGTAACACTTCTATTTTTAAGAACATCGGTTCCCCAAATCATAACTGCTAAGTTTTTTGTATACTTTGAATCTCCTTGCGTTACTTGCAACTGGTGCCATTTCTCTTCATCTACCCAGATGCCACTTCCAAGATGAACCTGGAGTAGAAAGTGAAGTAACAGGTGGTGGTTACCTGGAAAGTTTGTTTCATCCTTCATAAGTAGCAGGAACAATGTTTAATAGAAAACACACTTATCTGTAGTATCTAATGACTGAAAAAATATGAAATATTAAAAACAATTTGATTTGTCTACTCTATGTGCAAAATCATGAAATGACATGAAATGAAAACCCATAAAGAGGGCAAGTTGTAAATGTTTTTTATCATCATAAAGCTTCTCCTGGGATGAAGATAATGTTTCTTCCCTTTATGTCCCGCTTACAGAAGAATGTGGAATCTTTTTCACAACCATAGCATATAATCAAAAGCATAATCTTGAGTTTTATGGTAAACAAATGCAAAAACCTCAAGAAAAGTCCCTAAAGTATTCACTTGACATTTTTGTCATGAACAGATAAAAATGCATTGCTTTCGAGTATATATGCCTGTTATGAGATTCATTTTAATTTTCTTGATGAATATAGAAAGGCAGGCAAGCAACCATCACCAATGAAGCATTCTCAGTTGAATATTTCTGCCTTTCCCTTATCCATCCCCACCAAGGCTGTTACCATCAAATGCCCAAGTGCAAAAGTTTCCTGAAGAGAGAGGAAAGATGACTAACCACAATAACCTTGAACAATTGCTCAGCTGAATTTTAATTTTGCTTAGAGGACTCTTAGAAATGCCTTTCACTCTTTTTAAAATAGTATATATTTATATATTCACATGCATTTATTTTGCTGGCGAGTATTTCTCATTTAGTTGTTAAAGGGAGAATATAAATATCTGCAATGGATATATTAATACCTTTCCATTCTCAAGAATATATTTGTCCATTACAGGAATAGCAGCTGGGTAGTACGTTGACGTGTTTGCTTCCTCACTGAAAGCTGTCTGTACATCAGGCTCAGGTTCAATGGATTCAGGTGTAACCTTTTCAAGTTCTAGGGCAGGACCTATATATCATTTTAAAAAGAGGAACAACTCTTTAATTTAATGTAGGATACATTATGTAATGTCCATTTCACATGCAGAACTTCATACTGATTAATCTTGATATAACCTAAAATCCAAACTCAGTATGACAGTAAAATATTACCCCTTTTTTCTCCAGTTTTAAAATATTATCAATATATGAATTAAAGAAATACAAAGAAAAGTGAAAATAATGGTAAAATAAGACAGGAAAGGAAAAGAGAAAAAAATTAGGTAGAGCGGGGGAAAAAGAGCATTGACTTCTGACTCCTTTTGGTGCAGCAGAATAAGGTAATCACATAAAATCTTAACTTTTTTACATAATAATATACTGGCCATTTCTATTACAAGAAACCTACCTAATCAGCAAAGCTCATATGCTGCCGTCAACATATATAACATTAAAATTCCAATTTTTTCCCCAAGTTCTTTGTCCACTAGAAAAGTCAAGTCTCTGGTATTACCCCTTTTTTCCCCTCAAAGGATTGTATTTTAATAAAATTTTCAAAAAAGGAACATAAATATGAACAAGTGGAATGTGAGAGTCAAAGCAATTCAGCACTTGTACTTAAACCCAAACTGAGATACACAGTTGTAGCTGTTTTAGATGTATTTCTTTCATGATCACTGAAAGAAGTAATAGGTGTATTATGATGTTACATATTATTACACAGATGTTGTATATGTAACCAACTTTTTAGTTAAGTGTTTTAAAATGAAAAGGACAGAATCAACACTAGGAAAGAATTGTCAATATCCAAAGACAATCTCAGTGACCAAAAACCTGAAGATTGAACACATTGGCAATTGAATTTCCAAACCGAATCAACTTTTTGAATTGGAGACTCAGTTGTGGAGATCTTCAATTTATTTAGATATTTTTATGGGCTTTTTTGCATGGATTCAAATCTTTTCTCTAAACTGATGATTTTACTGGCATAGGCCAATTCAAAAATAACTTGCTTCCTGTTCACAGGATTCACAATGATTTTTGCTTGGTTGGGACAGTAACCAATTCCATAATTACAAAACCTGAAAAAAGACTGTCCATCCTAAAGACAGATAGGATTTATTAAAGCATGAATCTTTAACTTTAACATTAACTTTAACATACATGCATACATACATACATACATAGGTCTATGTGTATATGTACATGTGTGCATATATACTGCTCAAAAAAATAAAGGGAACACAAAAATAAGACATCCTAGATCTGAATGAATGAAATATTCTTATTAAATACTTTGTTCATTACATAGTTGAATGTGCTGACAACAAAATCACACAAAAATTATCAATGGAAATCAAATTTAGCAACCCATGGAGGTCTGGATTTGGAGTTACACTCAAAATTAAAGTGGAAAAAAACACTACAGGCTGATCCAACTTTGATGTAATGTCCTTAAAACAAGTCATAATGAGGCTCAGTAGTGTGTGTGGCCTCCACATGCCTGCATGACCTCCCTACAACACCTGAGCATGCTCCTGATGGATGGTCTCCTGAGGGTTCTCCTCCCACACCTGGACTAAAGCATCCCCCAACTCCTGGACAGTCCTGGACAGTGCAACGTGGTGTTGGTGGATGGAGTGAGACATGATGTCCCAGATGTGCTCAATTGGATTCAGGTCTGGGGAACGGGCGGGCCAGTCCATAGCATCAATTCCTTCATCTTGCAGGAACTGCTGACACACTCCAGCCACATGAAGTCTAGCACTGTCTTGCATTAGGAGGAACCCAGGGCCAACCACACCAGCATATGGTCTCACAAGGAGTCTGAGGATCTCATCTCGGTACCTAATGGCAGTCAGGCTAGCTCTGGCCTCCATGCTCTGGACACTACGCTGACAGACACAGCAAACCTTCTTGCCACAGCTCGCATTGATGTGCCATCCTGGATGAGCTGCACTACCTGAGCCACTTGTGTGGGTTGTAGACTCCGTCTCATGCTACCACTAGAGTGAAAGCACCGCCAGCATTCAAAAGTGACCAAACCATCAGCCAGAAAGCACAGGAACTGAGAAGTGGTCTGTGGTCACCCCCTGCAGAACCACTCCTTTATTGGGAATGTCTTGACTGCCTATGCTTTCCACCTGTTGTCTACTCCGTTTGCACAACAGCATGTGAAATTGATTGTCAATCAGTGTTGCTACCTAAGTGGACATTTTGATTTCACAGAAGTGTGATTGACTTGGAGTTACATTGTGTTGTTTAAGTGTTCCCTTTTTTTTTTTTGAGCAGTGTACATAGTTACAATGAAAAATATAAGCCAAAATGTCAAATAAAATTAATGTGTGGAAAGTGAAAAGATTAAACATAAACGTATCTTTAATGAAATTTTCTACTGCTTGTTGATATGTTAGTTATTTATACATATTGAATTACAATTTTTTTTTAAACACCATAATTAATAAATGTTACTGCAGTAATTCAGAGAACCACAGCAAAAACATGAGGTCCTAATAGATAGAAGCATTTGGCCAAAGATCTTGTAATGTATTTTATTCCAAAGCTCAAAATATTTCACATTTCAATAATCAAAGCCTTTTCTAGGCAGCTGAACTTCATAGTAATTTCGGAAACTACTAAGAGTTGCATTTACAGCACAGCATGTTCAAATTAGACATGCAATTCCTTTTACTGTCTTTTTGCTAATTAGGGTTGCTTGCCTAATTTGCCATGCATCATGCTTACTTTTTAAAAGTTTCTCACTTTGTAGTTTTTGCACTTTGATAAGCAAAACAGAAAATGTCAGTTACGGAAGTTTTCTAAAAGTCAACACAAAATGTGTTTTCTTAGCACAACAAATGCAGATGAAGGAAAATCCTTGTTTCAGTGAAAAGTTTTACTATTTTCAGTAGTAAAACTCTTGGCATAGGAATTAGACAAGAAATATGAAATTTCCCTTATAGTTCAGCATCTCCAGATTTCTTTCATGTCAAAAGAAACCTGTTGATTTAGTCAGATGAAAAGACTTATCTACTCCAGGATTCTTTGCTCTACAGTAACTGATGAAATATCTATAGAAAGACACACACACGTTTTTTCTCTTTCTAATAACTTTTTCTAATTCACTGTTTCTCAACCTTGGTAACTTGAAGATGTGTTGACTTCCCAGAATTCCCTAATCAGCCATGGATTACACCCTGCACTGAGGAGATCTCCATGTGGCAATTCTGTATAGCTTTGAACCATGAATAACCCTTTTTTCTTTCTTAAAGAAAAGGAAGCCGACATGGAGGGCATTTTGCCTGCCTATGATCCTAGAGCTGGTAGTACAAGCCTTAGTATTTTAGGTGATAAAGAGACCCTATCAGGAAGCAAAAATAGTAATTCTTCTCTTGCCTTTCTTAAGGCTTTTGCCATTTCAAAATGCTCAGACTGGGAATTTTAAGATATACAGCAAGGTAAACTTTTAAATGCTATTTTTAAATCATAGTTGTAACAATAACCTAAAATCTAATCAATCAAGATGGTAAATTCCAGTAGGCCCTACATTCTATTGATTTCAATGTAATTTAGGGATATTTACTTTAGGCACAATTCAGAGGAATAGCATATGAACATGTATCTAGGGTGGGATTTTACAGGTTCACACCTATTTGCTAGAACCGGTTAACATTCTAAGCAGTTCGGAGAACCAGTTGTTAGAAGAAATTACTGGTCTAATCCTGTAAGGAAGGCAGGAAGGAAACATTCTGGTATTGTTGCTTACAGAAACTGCCTCTCCATTAACCCTTATTATTTTCTTGGCAGGACTAGACTTCCTGTCTCAGGAACGTCTCTGGAGTTTTTTCCCCTTCCTTTGCTGGTACTTTGCTTGTGTGAAATGACCATTCAAAGTTACAATGGCACTGAAAAAAGTGACTTATAATCATTTTTCACACTTATGACTATTGCAGCATCCCCAGTCACGAGAGGCTAGGCGCGGAGATGCGTTCCTCGATGTGAGTGATGTTGAGTTGGCCACGCCCAGCCAGTCACATTACCACCAAGTCACGCCCCAACTAAGCCACGCCCACAGAACCAGTTGTTAAAAAAACTGAATCCCACCCCTCCTTAGTATATGCAGATTCTTCCCATGCATAATTTCCTTCAACTCACCCTGAAAACTCAGAATATATTAGCTAATAAACTCTGTGAAGAAAACATAGCCTACATCCACTGGAATCAGTAGCTCTTAAGAGAGCAAGCAACTCTCACTTTTGACTCTTTAATTAACTGGAATTTGCATCATGGCTCCAAAAATAGAACAAAAGTACTGTAATTTGCACAAGAGTATTTTATTTTATTCATGGTATTCCTCAATTAAAGTTCCCTGTATTTTACTGTATCTATTGATTATATGATTTTGAATCCCTTGTATGATTCTCCATGCATCATTTTTAAAAGATTAAAAAAGGTAAACCAAAAGTTAGAATTTTCTAATGGGCACCCACCCACCCCCTAAAAAAAACCTAAGTAAGATACTGGCTGTATGTTCAAACAACTAGAAAACTATTAAACCGACTATAATACATAGCTTAAAAAACAAAGACTGTAGCAGATAAAACTGACTAGTTATATTCCAAATAAATCGACAAGGTAAGAGATAAAGTTTAAGATATTAAATGACAGAAGAGTGAACAATAAAAATCCAAGACATTATTTCTAAAAAAATATTTTCTGGTTTACTTATCATTAAACAGCCTGATCTACCTAAGAGTTAGTCAAGGGAAAATAAACTCCAAATATGTATAGACTGTGTACTAAAATGAAGTCATATATAAAGTAAAGATGTATCCTGCCCCACTGGATTCATATTATCCTATGATATTCTAAAAACATGCCATCTTTGATTATGAAACATTCTTTTCAATGCCCAAAAACAATTTAGGTTAATTTAGTCTACATTATTTTTTAGCATGAATATTGGTTTATGTAAAAGTAATTATATTATTTTGAATTATCTGAAGTATATCTGCGGGACCATATATCTACTTATCTCACGGAACTGGCATGTTATGGATCCTGTTTACAGCGGAATGTCAATCAACGGGACCCATAAAGAAACCTGTTTCCGCTGTGGCACTCAACCTTTGGAACTCCCATAGGTGCTTTTACAAGAGGCAACTGGATTGTTTTGTTTTTCTTTGAAAACATTTTGCTTCTCATCCAAGAAGCTTCTTCAGCTCTTTGGAACATCATTTCCCTGGAACTTAGATTGTTACCTATTAAGGCCTTTAAGAAGGGCCTTAAGACTTGGCTTTGCCATCTTCTCTGGAATTGGGTAGTGGTGGTGTGGATTTTGGTGCATCCATAGTATCCATAGTACATAGTATACATACATGCATATAAATGTACATATGGGAAATATCCATATTTTAAAAAGTATTATATGAAACCACAAGAGGGAGCAGTAGCAAGATGATATTCCTATTTTGCAGTAATCTCTTTCGCATTGGGAAAGAACAGAAGAGACATGTTCTTGTGACAATCTACTTGCTACTCTATTACATTCCTTTTTTAAATAGATTTTTTTTAATTTTTACTATATAAAGAAAGAGCAACAGTTTCAATGTCTATATAAACAGTGTGTTGTCTGGTTACAGTTATTTTAAGCAATAGTCATAGTAATAATAATATTCATTGATAGTGATCATATAATAACATTTTCTCCACATAATATTAATACTTAATTGTTATTACTAATCATTGTTAATAAATATATCATAATGAACTCTCGTGGTAAAATTAATCCTTCTCTTATAATTTTAAATATTCTAACTTCTGTTTCTGTTAGTTAACCATTGATAAAACGAATCCCATGTTTCAAAATCTTCCTTCTTTAATTTCAAGTGTTAATCTATCAATTTCTGCACGTTCTAGTATTTTTTTAAATTATCTTCTCTTCTGTAGGGATCTCCTTTCCAATTTTGTGCAAATACAATTCTGGCTGCTATTAACACTTGCAATATTAGATATATAGTCCCTTTATTATGTTTTTCTAGTATGATACCCAACAGAAATATTTCTGGTTTTAAATCTATATGTTCCTTGATCATTCTTTTCTATCCAAGTATGTATTTTTGTCCAGTATCTCTTGGCTTTTATTACATTCCTGTAATACTGTTTGACACAATGGAATTAGCTGAGAACATTTTAAGAGTATGGTGCAGAGGTCTTTCTACCTCTTTCTAATACAACTTTTGTACTTGTGCTTTACGCTGCTGTAGCTAATGCAACATTACACAGTTGTTATAGTCATAAATTTCTTAAATGAATAAATAACTATAACAAGAAAGTGATGAACACTGTCCTAATATTTTAGTTCCCATGCTCAGTCCAGTTAACCTGAAATGTGGAAACAGCCTGAACATTCTTAACAGGTCAGTATCAATTTAGCATAATTTTCTTCCTCTACCCTTGCCTTTCCAGCAATGGCACAACTATGCCGTTCAGGTTTCTCTTGAGTTTGACTATAGAACAGGGATATCAAACTCAGCCCACAGGCTGGATGCGTCATGTGTTTGCCATGCCCACCCTTGGTTTAGCAAAGGGGGAAAAAGTTGCAATATGATTACGTACTATCACAAGTTTGACACCCCTGCTATAGAAGGACCAACTCGCTTTACCTACATAGGATCAAAAGGACTGACTAAAGAAGACTGCAATGTCTATGTAAACATATGTCTTAAGCTTCCCATCTCATACTACACAAGCAATAGTAATCTGCGCATAACATATATATATATACTTGTGTAAAAACCATCCGCTGAGAAGCCAGCCATCAACATGTTCATGTTTTAATGTTTACAATTAGCTTATAGGGATGGCACATTTTAAAGGGTATTTTGTTTAAAAGTTTGAGAATCTACTTATCCATATGTATATATGGGTATCATTTTGAAAGGGAAGGAATGGGGTATGGTAAGCACACAAATCTATTAAGTATTCAATACTACAATAAACTAGAATAAAAGCATTTAGCCACAAAACAACTTAACTATTGTTAATTTAACAATTTAATCTGCTCAAAGTTCCTTCTTTGATCAATTGGCCCAACAAGAGTGATAACTTGGCTTCCAGGTAACAATTCATTCGCTTGCCCTTTTCCTCTGATGCTTACTCTCTAATTATATCATCTACATGGTCACCCATTTTTATCTCCAAATTTAAGTTAAGGAACAAAGAGAATTTATGCAATTATCTGCATCACTATTCTTCTGAATCCTGTTACCCGGATAAGAAGAAAAAAAAAACAAGATTTGTGGGGAGGGTAGAGATACACCAAAATTCAGAGCATCTCTTAGGAAAAATCCTGGTCTGAAAACATGGAGAGCCATTACTATTCAATGTTGAATAGTAAAGGAAAATACATTCTTTTCTTCCATTTCTACTTCCATAGCATTTTGCAGTCTAGGTAAAGTAAAGAAGGAGTAAATAAAAATCAACTTCCTCTTCCCTTTTTACCTCCCTATCTTTAAGAACTGAGTTTTTCTAAGTCAGAAAAGTAAAGAAGGAAATAAAGTAAGGATCAGTAAGAGGAAATGGTCTCCATGAACAGTGACTACCCACACTGTACCAAACAACCAATTAAATTTGCCATCAGGATATTGTGATGGAACTTTGCTTTCCTATTTTCGATTTCTATCCAAACACACTAGGTAAGTTTAAAGCACAAGTACAACTCAGAAAGCTTTCAAAATAGTACAACATTAAATCCATATTTTTGAAAAAATATACAAAAATATACAAATGACTATCTTCCTCGTTAGTCATTCATATTAGTAACATATTATGTTCTACCAGTAACTCTAAATATATTTATTTATTATTTATTTATCACATTTATTGGCCATCTTACCACAGGGTAACTCTGGGTGGGTTTGAAAATAAACAGCTCTCCTGTTGATAATGAAATATGAAGACTCACAATCTTAAATATATTGTAAATAATGATTGAATTTGTAAAAACAATCAAACTATGCTTTTCAAAGTTAATTTCTTAAAATATATGCCTCTTTACAATCCTTAGAGCAGCTTTTAAGGGCATATAAAGAAAAGGGGGCATTTTTCCTACTCAATCTCTGTAAGTAGGAACTCGCTGCAATCATACAAATACCTTATGGATTCAATAGCTAGATTTCTTTGTGAAGATTTAAATGAACCTAAGTTAAAACAATTCTTGAACATGTCCCATATATGCAGGTACTTACCACTGCCTAATCTGAGAAGCAGGACATCCTGTAACCGTCTGTTCAAATCTCTTAGCTCTTTCATTTCTGACACTAATGTCCCATATTCCTTTAACTTTTTTGCTTGTTGAACAAGCTGCCTTCTTGTTCTTTCAAGTTCCTGTTGAATGTGCCTCATTTCTTCCTGCTGTTGCTGATAGCTTCTCAGCAACTCTTCATAAAGAACTCGAGGAACTACAGCATCGTCCATATTGTTCATTCTGTCTGAAGTTTCCATAAATGTTGCCTCAGGACTGGAATTACTACTGAGACTCATTCCATTTTGTTTTTCAAGGCGCGCAACAACTGCTTCAATGCTTTTGTGCGTACCTTCATTCTGTTTCTTTCCATCTTGTCTCTGTATGTTACAACAAAACACATTATTAATATACTGTGTCATACACAAATCTATAGAGTTCAAAAGTTAATGAAATTATGAGCACACTACAATCCCCAAGGGAAGAACATCTAATGAACATTGGACCAACACAGTTTAATAACCAAAAAAAGTTACGTTGTATATAACTAAGTCTTTTTTTAAAAAATGTATGATGCAGAGTTAAATGCATCTGAGAGGAAATCAGCAATAGTGGAAATGTACTGATACATTTACCACATTTACCAAGTATTATTTTTTAAAATTTGTATTATCCAAAGCCAATTTTGAGAGGGGATTTTGAGAAGATAGGAACAATTCAGACATCACACTAAACTTCAAGAGACACTCAGAAGTATTCATTACTATAACCACAGGTTATATCTGAGAAGGCCAAATTGCTCATACAAACTATAGTTCATCACAATAAGTGAACTACTCTCTCGGTCTCTCTAATTCTAATGAGTCAGTGCAGTTAAGATTCCCAATCCAGTCAGACATGGTGCTAAACTACAGCAAGAAAGACAGTTAAAATTTAAGGACATACATGATTGTGCAGCATCTAGTATGCACACACTCAGCTTTGAGCATTTAGAGGCAAAGGCAGAGCCTGTTTACATGAACTCTGAGCACTCCTGACTTTTTTTTTTTAGTTTGTACCATTTGCATAGAGTGCATTCAACATTAACCTAAACATATTTTTTAATGATTAAATGCTGTGTTGTATCATCCCATCATCTGGAAACTTTAGATTTAGATGACAAATAATCCCAAAATTGTATTAATAATATCCTGTAGAAGACACTGATAAAATGCATTTAAAGGCAATGTTTGCACCTTGTTATTTGAAGTAATTTTTATACTGATTTGCCTAATTAACAGGGCATCAACGTTCAAAATAATTAAGAATTTCACAATACAAGGAATTAGTGGAAGAAACATAGTATCTATTACTGTGCAATAATCAGCCAAATCTCTAAAAGATATTTCCAAATCAAATTTATCTATTCTTCTTTGCTTATCAATAGTAGTAAAATACGAGGCTCCGTGTAAATATAGATTGCCCCAGCTAAACACTATACAAAATTGATTTTAAAAAATCAACATATATATACTTACAATACTTAGTTTTAAAATAATGACTACATGCTTTATTTGAAAACAGGGGTATTTGCCTCAAGGCCATAATTATAGAGGAAACAGCATATATGAAGCTAGAATATGTAAAATATAGCAAAGATAACTCATGTTATATCATTACAGTGTTAAATTTATTTTAGTTTTAAGGAAACTGAGATAAATGAACAAAGTTTATCTCAATATAGTTTCATTATTCAATAATGTCTTATTGTATTGTACATCTTTATATTACACACATATCTACAGATATCATCAATCTGGAGAACTGAATGTATTAACCTTATCAAACTGAGCTTGTTTTAGAACAGTAGGTGGAGGGAACAACTTACAGGAAGGGCTGTAAGGAACACACAATACTTTAATTTTGCTAAGCTTTCTTTTTTTCTTTTTCCCCTGGGAATTGCTTAGGAGAAACTTAGTAAAAAAAATGTAATTAGCAGGTGCATTGGGGAATTCATGCAATACTATACTAATAAAAACCTGAGTTCCAAGCATGTTAAATATACCTGCAATATTCACGCTGAATATGTTGAAGATGGGCATGTTGAAGGAATTTGCAATATTCAAAGCAAAACTTTGTCTGGAATAGAGTCAGTCTAGTTTTACAGTATATTTTGTTCTAAAAAGAAAAGATATCCATGATAAAATGATGCTAAATAGTAAGTGAAAGAACTTATACAAAGGGAAAGAATTTGTCAACATATTCACTGTGAAATGTAAAAAACGCATAATTGACATTTTTGTCCATTCTTTAAAGCAAAACTGATTATATCAGAAAATTTTAAGATTACATTCTACTGATGTCAAAGAATCTGCTAAAAATGCAATTATCTGCTTTAAAAAGTATCAAAGGAGACACTCATTCTTTGAGCAATTAAAAAGCCTAACTCTGAAAATAATCACAATTTCACTGAAATAAAAGCAGTAAGTTGTTTTCCATTACATAATGACATTCTCTGCCAACACTCTTTAACAGATCACAACGCAGACTTCTTTAAAAGCAATCCTCTTTGGGAATAATTTTTTCTTGTCTTGATACAACCCTTCAGTACTTTGATAAATCATTAAAATACAATTCCTTTTTCCTGTTAATTATAAATATTGTATTGTTGATAATTTTCCAGAACTTTGTAGGAGGAAGATATACTTAGCTAGCACACTACAGGTAACCCTCAACTTACAACTATTTGTTTTGTGACTGAAGTTACAGTAGCACTGAAAAAAATAACTTATGACTGTTTCTCTCACTTATGATGGTTGCAGGATCCCTGTGGTCACATGATCAAAATTTAGCCTCTTTGCCACTGGCTCATATTTATGATAGTTGGAGTGTCCTGGGATCATGTGATCACCTTTTGTGATCCTTTGACAAGCAAAATCAACTGGAAAGCCAGATTCACTTAAATCTGTCACTAATTTAACAACAGTAGGATTTACTTAACAACTGTGTCATAAAATGGGACAAAACAACTGTCTTGCTTAAAAAACAGAAATTTTGGACTCAATTGTGCTTGTAAATCAAAGACTAGCTGTATAAATAATCTGAATTCTGTCATGTTTATGTTGTTACACTCATGGATATTGTTCCATATGTGGTATTCTGCTAAAGACTGTCAATTGAGTTTCATTTTATTTTTTGTGTAAAATTACATTAATAGAAGATTGTATTTAAGATATTTATCTGCCATTAGATTGGGCACTATTGGAGGACCATTTCCCATCACTTCAGTCTATACAAAAGTGTCTCGAACAGCTAAAGGATGCAAAACAAATCTAAGTTTTCTAGCTTCAGTGGAAATCTGCTCACTTGGGAGTTGGATATAGTGTTCTCCATCCTCCCCAAAACTGAAAAGTTTTGTATATAGTTTGAATCTAGACAAAGGGATGCTGATGAAATGAAAAAAAATGTGCATAAAATAAGAACAGTAATGCAATAATAAATATGAAAAATATTATAATTGTACAAGTGGTGAATCAATTATAAATAAGATACAACAAAATTAGTAATTTGGATAATAAAAAATTTCTCATAACTGAAGGAGGGATATTTGTTTTAAAAAATATAGGTTGCATTAACATGCATCAACTTCTTAGGCTTACCCAATGAATGAACTGCAGGCAGCTGGAGTTTCTGGTTCAGTTCTGCCTATGCTGACTTTTTACTTCAGTGCCTGATAATCTCAGGAATGAGAAATCCCTGCTCTTGACAAACCATTTAATAAAAGAAAAATTCCACTTTTCAGAAAAATCCAGCAGCAAAATTTGGATTATAATTTTGTTTTTACCCCATCATATCAAAATGTAGATGAGTATTTAGAAAAGAAGAAATTATCTCCTTTCTATAGCTGATCAGGAATAAGTCCAAAAATATATTCACAAAGGTTGTTCTCATCTAGCATTATTCTCATTAATTTGAAATGTTATTAATATGTGTCTTACCTCCATACCATGAAAAAATAAAATGTCATGGCTGCTTATTAGATATTCTGATTAGCAAAGGAAAATCCTTCTTTTGGATATTATTACCAGCATTTAAAAGAAAAGTTGAATGTGAAGCATCCATATTCATCAAAAAGTAAATGAAATACCACTGAAGGTTTCACTCGATTAAACTGCACATGCAAGTATACTGTAGCTACAGAAAATATGAGCTACTGCTGGTTGACATGGGTCCCCAGGGGGTAGGGGGGATGACTCACCCCTGGAGGTGGCTGACAGAGTAAGAAGACCTCACCCCTGTCCTATCTTTTAGCTCTCCTACTTCTGAGTTAGTACAGTTTTTAACAATATTTTAATCTGTGTCATTTTAACCTTTTAACTATTTTTACTTGTTTTAAAACTTGTAAATCACCAAGAGTCACTTTGTTGAGGAGATGGGTGGCATAAAAATTAAATAAAACAAAACAAACACCCATGACTCACATGATAGTTCTATATATCCCTGCTGCTTTCATATACCAACCCTGTCACAACGTACAACGTTGGCAGGTTCCATACAGCAGTGCTCAAGATTTGTTGGGATGATGACCAATGATATAAACAAGACTTAATGAGCACCTTGAGTCCTCTGGAGTTTGATAGTCTTCTATTAACCTTTTATTTTTCCTTACACTTATCTAATGCTCCTACCCCTTCCTTTAGATTCTTTTAGACTCTTGTTCTTTATATATACTTTATTATTCTTACATCTTCTAGATTTTCATACTTTTTTTAGGCTCTTGATAATCTTCTATCCTTTTAAATTGACAGAACCAGACACTCACCCCCACTCCACTTAATGCTGCTCTACGAACATTTTAAAGATTTGATTTTGAAAGTATGAAAAAAATCTGATGAAAATGCAGAATGTTTCAAACTTGGGTTAAAACAAATCTAGTGATTGCTGAAAACAAGGTTAAAAACAATAAATCTACTAAATAATTTACATAAAATAACTTAGAACATATATATTTTAAAGATCTAATATGTCAATGTACTGTTTAACTAGAAATTAAAAAATGACTGGATATAGTGATGGTAACCAAGCTTTTTCAAGAATATTGCAGGGTTCCCCCCACCTTAAAAAGTAAACACTTAAATAATTAAATATAACCCAAATATCACCAACTAATGCTATTTTTGTATTCCTAACATTACATATGCTGTTTCTCTTTAATGTTGGCATTAAGTTATAACTCAGTTAAGATACAAGCAGCCATTATTCTCCATGTAAGTACTATAGATGTGCATCCAACCTCAATGGAATTAGGAGGGGGCATACATATTCCAGGAGCACCAAGTACTAGTACTGCTTAGACAGCTAATGCTCCTGAGAAACTCCACTTACCTTAATAGAAACATGGCTGAATATTGCACAGTGCCCAATAGCAGGCTAAACTGGGAGAGCTTTGATGTGTAATGTGAAACTGATGAGCCAAAACTCTGCTCTCCACAATTTTATCACATAAGCAAAACCTGGGGGAAAAATCATATGTTATACACATTTGATACTGGTTGTCATATTTGTTTGTATGGTGCTTCATATGGGTTTCCTTGTGGTATTCATTGAGCATTCTCATCCTCATATTAGACAAAAAGTGTGAATGCTATACTTATATATTTTTAAACAAGATGGGTGCAAAAAGTTATCTACTGAGTAGGGTTTCTCAAACTATGGGTTGGGATTCCAGAGGAAGGATTACAAACATCTTCGGGGAGCTTAAACAACAACATTCTCAAACTCATTCTGGGCTTTGTCTGCACCAGACAGCTGAAATATTGAAAAGGATGAGAAGTACTATGATATACACATTAACATTTCATTATTGAAACAGAGTACATGTAAATACATGTATTTCCGGCCCAACCTTAATGAAATCTTCATTTTTATTTATATAGAGGCCACATGCATTTATTTATCATTTTAGAGAGTCACAGCACTGCAGTGTCTGAAAACCCTTGCTATAGGCACAAAACTTTGAATGTATTGTAATAAGAAAACTGGAAGATATTTTACAGGGATGTTTTCTTCAAACTCTGAATTTTGCTACTAAATCTACTTTAAAGAAAGTTCCCAGATGGTAAGATTAATATCACTCTGCACAAACTACTATTTAATCGACTATATGTTTTTCATACACACAATAACACATACACACCATTTATAATGTACTTCTTTAACTGTGTGAGGTAGCTTGTTATCCCAACCAGTTGTAGAGAACCTAACCTGACACTCAAATTGCATACAAACATTGTGTCCCACAGGAGTGCCTGAATATTTGACACACTTTATGTTCATGGAGAACTAGAGCATTCTCTAATATAACAGAGCTACTGCTTTATTTATTTTATTACACTTCCAAATTCAAAAAAGTTCAAATAAAAACAAAGACATATGGCTCTTAAAATTGTTTTATATGAATTGTAAGTGTAAAAAATGCTGTCTTAGTTATATTTCAGCTTGTCCACTATAAAAATATTTACTTCTGAAAATAAAATAACATCACTACAAGAAATCTAGTTGCACAAGCTACTATAAAAACAAGTCATCATTTTTTTTAAATAATCACACCAGTTTTAAAAATAACTCCAAATAACCCAATTTTGCTAACCCAGTATTTGTTCTATATCATAAAAATATAAAGGAGAAAGGTATAAACTGAAACATTTGGGACTCTTGGTTGTACAGTATTCACAACATTCCAATTCTAATCCAATATTTCAATGTATTTTTGCAAGCCAAGTCCCACTGTATTTAATGGCACAATTTCCATTAAAGGTGCATAAAAATTGCAATCTGCATTTCTATATGCTAAAGAATGAAAGAATCCCTGACATTCTGATTTGCGGTAGAATAAAGCACATCCAAAATTAGAAAAAAAGAAAGAACAAACCAACAAACAGGCTTCAATACCTTACAGTGTCTAAGTTCCATATCTTCATCCCCATAATCTGTAATTTCCCCCGTTTCTTCTAGGTGATTGAGAGACAGCTTGGGGATTTTAATTTTCTTCTGCATCACACTGTTTTCAAGGTCTGTTTTATCTTCTGCAAATTTACATAAAAATATTTTTTCACATTTTTCAAACTGATTATTCAAATACTGTATGACTGAAGCCAGACCATTTAAAAAGTTCCCATGCTTGACTATCTTCCATATGCAGTGATAATCAACTGCTCCAGAAACTTTTTTTTCCCCAAAAATATATGCACTATAGCCCTTAGACAGAAATTTGAAGAATATTGTAAAAATAGCAGGGCTTCCAAAGATTGTTAAGAACAAAGCTAAAATCCAAACTTAAGCATGATATTTTGCAGATGATATTGGACCAATTATGCATTTTCCCCCAGTACAATCTAATTCAGACTTTTAAGATCTAAAAATGGAGAAGAATATTCCTAATTCTAAAAATACTATATGTATTTTGATGGCTCCCCATTTTCTCATTTCTTGCCCTTTCAAACAACAGTATAGCAGGTTGCTCAAAGTTAAGGATGTTTTGGAGTCTGGGATTTTAGTTTTTTCTGCAAATGTGGGGAAAACACATTTTTCAGAAATTCTAACCCTTATAAACAGGGAAAGGATAAATGCCTCCATCTTTACATATTCTCAGTTCTTAATGCAGCAGCAGTATTAGCAAGACTGCAGAGAATGTAGAGAGAAAGAATGTATAGCTATTTCCTGACAGAAATTATGTCACCAAGAAAAATCTAGAATGCAGCTCTGATTCAGACAAGGTATTTTCCAGGCGTTTTAAAAGCCCAATTTAAAATTTAAGCCCTTTCATTATGTATAAATATTTCAGTGATTAGAATTTCTTCAGAGTCTTGCAATACCTTGTTTTTGGGGGGTAATGTACCTATTTATATTTTTGTTAGTTCTGAGGATCGCATTGAATTTTAGCAAGTTGTCCCAAGTAACCAATTAATTTAAAGATCTTTCAGAAGTCCTTCAGAATTAAATAGCAACCACTATTAACTCTGATACACAGAGCTACTAAAATTAAATACAATTGCTCTTTCTGCCAAAAAGATGAGTCAAAATTAATTCCCAATATTTAGGTTAAGGAACGCTTTTATAAAAGTAAAATTACTAAAGCCAATCACAGAAGAACTGAGAGGTACAATAGGAGCAATAAGGCAGTATATTGCTCCAGGTACTAAAAGTAAATAACTTTCTGATTAAAGATAAATTTATTGGGATGGTAATATAAATATTACTTGCTCTCCTATATTTCAGCACAATATTTTTCCCTTTATGTAATATATTGCTAAGGAAAAAGCCAGGGAAAATGTACATCTGCTTTCTGGGACAAAATGTATCCTTTTGACAAATACATTTTGTTCTTTCAATTCAAAATATCTCAGTTCATCTTTATTCTGGAGGGCAAGAAATTATACTCATCATGGTATCAGTTGATCTTTAGGAATTTTTTTAATTGTGGCCAATTCTAAAGTATTGGTGTGTGACAGGGCCTGCTTCTCCTATAAACCAAGTGCAATTTATAATGATAAACTGAGAATTGCTTTGCTTTAAAATACTTCAAAAATATTAAATACCACTAGAACAAATGCTTTGATACATTGGGTGCCACACCCAAATTTACCACTAATAATGCACAAAAGCCTCTGTGAAATAGCCCAAATATGGAATTTTTCATTTACCAAAATAAGGAGAAATGGAGTGACTGAATTCTTGAGCAATATACACAGCTTCCAGTTCAATTTATATTTTATCATTACAACTGGTTTTGAAATTTGACCCAAATAAGATACAGAAATTATCTCAGAGTTGCCATTCTTTGCTACATGGAATTTTCAACAATCACAAAATAAAGGAAAATATTTGACATGGCATTTCTTCTTGTAAGGAAAAATGAACTACTTCCCAAAAAGCAAGAGTTGTATAGGAAATGTGAGGGTGCAGAAAGAGATTGACAAATCATGACCATTTTCATCCTACTTTAGGAAGATGTTAAATGGAGGTGGCTCAAAGAATCTGAGGTGCGAATCTTTTTTTGGACTGGTTTATTGAAAATTATACTCATCAAATGTATTCTGATTTTCTTAAATGTATTCTGCATTTTTTTTCTTTTACTATTTACATGTCTATTACATATGAATTTCTCCTAGATTCAGAAATTAGAAGAACTTTGAAAACATCTATCATAAAAAATTATCATCATATCTGTACTGATTAGTTGCATTCTTTCAAGAACTTTCTGCAAGATAGCAAAGGGTTTGGGGGGGGCATATTTTTGGTCTTGAAATTCTCATTAAGGGACTCTATATTTATTGTCCAACTAATCCTGATTTCTAGATAAAATTTAATAGGATGAGATTTGTAAAAATAGTAGATATAAAAATCCTAATGTTGGTATTGGTAAAGCTAATGGTTTAGCAGGCCTGACAAATTGGCGGCCTACGGGCCGGATATGTCACGTGCAGACCACGCCCATCCCGGCTCTGCAAAGGCAAAAAAAACATCGTGATAGGTCACAATCCACCCCGTGACGTGATCAAGTTTAACACCCGTGGTTTAGAGATTTTTTTCTATACGATTTGCTTTACCTACACTGTATTTGTTACAATCACTTGTAATAAAACTCAATAGTGCATTTTGGGTGGTTCTGGTTTATTTTTGTTCCAATGTTTTTTTTATTCTGGCCTGAAAATGTAATGTTAGATGAGAGATACATTTCTATTTTTGACCCAAAAAAAAGGGGGGGGGGTTGTTTAATTATTTCACATAGCTTTTCTAGTAGAGCCTGTGTTCGTCTTTAAATTGATTTACTTGTTACTCTGTATAGTTTGTGTGAAATAGGGCTTATGTTCCATTAACACTAATAAAGTTGAGCATGATTGGTAAATATTAGTACATGTTCTATGTTCTATATTGCAAGTTTTAACAGCCCCTCTACAAAGATCTGTTAAAAATTTTTTTGAAAAAGGTATTTATTTCAGAAGTGGTTTATGAAGAGAGAGATATGTATATCACTTCAAGTGGAAATATCTCAGTTGACATTTCCTACAGATATAATGGCAATCAGATAAAATTAAAATGACTATTCCAACTTTGTAAGAATATTAATTACATATCTTGTTGATTCTACTTTGTCCTTGTAAGAAGATTCTGCTTAATACCACTTCAAATGCAAGTATTAGAACAACAAAAAGATTTTTTAATTAAGGTCTCACTTAAATTATTAAAAAAGTTTTTTTTTTATTGGAATTAATTCCTTGAAGCAAGAATGAAGAATCTGTGACTTTCTACAAATGGATTATAATTCCCAGTACTTTTCATAACTGAATATCCTAGCCCAAAGGTGTCAAACCTGTGATGCCACATTGTCGTCACGTGATGTATTGCAACTTTCCCAACTGGGGATGCGTGTGGCCAATGTGTGATGCATCCAGCCTGCCGGCCACAAATTTGACACCCCTGTCCTAGCCTGACCTGTTAGGAGTTATACAGTAGTTCAGAGTGTCTAGAGAATCTTATCCTTACTTTGAAAGGAATATTTTATCCTGGAATTTTTACAGTATATAATGTCTCTGCATGCAATTATGGGGTTCTGTTTTTGTGTTGTTTGTTTCTGTTCTGGGTGTCTTTATTTAATTTTATTGAATAATAATTAATTCATTGTCCATAATCAAATAGATTGAATCCAATTTGATAAAGGGAAGCAAAACTATATTTTATACAAGTTTAGATTCCTTTATCAGATATATACACTGCTCAAAAAAATAAAGGGAACACTTAAACAACACAATGTAACTCCAAGTCAATCACACTTCTGTGAAACCAAAATGTCCACTTAGGTAGCAACACTGATTGACAATCAATTTCACATGCTGTTGTGCAAATGGAGTAAACAACAAGTGGAAAGCATAGGCAGTTAGCAAGACATCCCCAATAAAGGAGTGCTTCTGCAGGTGGTGACCACAGATCACTTCTCAGTTCCTATGCTTTCTGGCTGATGGTTTGGTCACTTTTGAATGCTGGCAGTGCTTTCACTCTAGTGGTAGCCTGAGACGGAGTCTACAACCCACTACCCCCAGGTAGTGCAGCTCATCCAGGATGGCACATCAATGCGAGCTGTGGCAAGGTGGTTTGTTGTGTCTGTCAGCGTAGTATACAGAGCATAGAGGCACTACCAGGAAACAGGCCAGTACATTAGGAGATGTGGAGGAGTCCATAGGAGGGCAACAACCCAGCATCAGAACCGCTACCTCTGCCTTTGTACAAGGAGGGATAGGAGGAGCACTGCCAGAGCCCTGCAAAATGACCTCCAGCGGGCCAGAAATGTGCATGTGGCTGTTCAAATGGTCAGAAACAGACTCCATGAGGTTGGTATGAGGGCCTGACATCGACAGGTGGGGGTTGTGCTTACAGCCCAACATCGTGCAGGACATTTGGCATTTCCCAGAGAACACCAAGATTGGCACATTCGCCACTGGCACCCTGTGCTCTTCACAGATGAAAGCAGATTCACACTGAGCATGTGACAGACGTTGCAGGGTCGGGAGACACGGTGGAGAATGTTCTGCTGCCTGCAACATCCTCCAGCATGACCGGTTTGGCAGTGGGTCAGTAATGGTGTGGGATGGCATTTCTTTAGGGGGCCGCACAGCCCTCCATGTGATCGCCAGAGGTAGCCTGGCTGCCATTAGGTACCGAGATGAGATCCTCAGACCCCTTGTGAGACCATATGCTGATGCGGTTGGCCCTGGGTTCCTCCTAATGCAAGACAATGCTAGACCTCATGTGGCTAGAATGTGTCAGCAGTTCCTGCAGGATGAAGGCATTGATGCTATGGACTGGCCCGCCCGTTCCCCAGACCTGAATCCAATTGAGCACATCTGAGACATCATGTCTCGCTCCATCCACCAACGCCACGTTCAACCACAGACTGTCCAGGAGTTGGGGGATGCTTTAGTCCAGGTGTGGGAGGAGATCCCTTAGGAGACCATCCGCCACCTCATCAGGAGCATGCTCAGGTGTTGTAGGGAGGTCATACAGGCACATGGAGGCCACACATACTACT